GGAAAGCAACATCCAGGAACTGCTTGAAGAAACGTTTTTATTGCTTCAGATGCCAAGGAATTCTCCAGGTACTGTGTCCTTTTGTTAATCATGCACAGATAATTTTTCTCTATTCCTTCCCTGTCACTTTTAATCTGTACCATTATTTGAAAGAAGTACATGGTGAAGTTGTTTAGATTAATATTAAACATGACACACAGTGTGGGCTTTTTTTTTTATTGTTTGCACTTTGATAGTCCTTAATTCTAATGGACAAAACTTTCTAAATTTGTGTTGGATAATTGCCCTTTTCTAAAATTGTATCTTTTTTTTCCCAAAAGACCCACAGGTTGGCCTGTTGGAAGACTAAACAGGGTGGGTGGTGGAACCCCTGTGCTCTTGCTGCAGGCAGCCAGATAACCTCCTCCACCAGTGGTTTAGTCTCCTTAGTCCAGGGCCCTTTCACCCTTCAAGTACTGTTGGAGAAATACACCAGTTCCCTCTTTGTAGGGCCAGATACTTCAGATTCCAATATCTAAAATGGAATACCTAGCATACTAGATTATACATAATATTTAAAATATATAATCAATCAACAAATGTGAGTTATTAAAATACTCATTGTAATTTTATAATGTGTTATTCTAAGTTAGTGAAACAAAATCTCTCAAGAACATTTCTTCATGTAGGTTGAAATAATGTTTCTGACAATCTGAGTAGAAGTCAAAGGCAATGGCCAAGATATACTCTTTGGTGTCTCATGTAAAGGGCTTTTAAGGGCTTTCAAATTATTCACAATGATGTACAAAGTTCTGTTTCACATAACTACCATGTGGCATGCTGAAGAAGTGGCTACATCTTCAAAACAAATTTAGGGAAACAAGGATTAACTATCTAAAATTTTGAACATCCAAACCCCGTATCTTAGAAAAATAAATCTCTAGCCTCTCTATATATGTAGTTTTGTAATTCTTTATTTACTTTGACGTGTGTATTAAAAAAGATAGTGACTGGGGATAAAGTTTGTTTTATGTTTAGCAGAGTTAAATGGGTTTCTATCTTTTAGGCTAACTTTAGGTAGCACTGTTATAAAGTAAGTAATATAGATCATTGTATTTGTTCATTTTCTATTACTATAACAAACTTTATGAGCCTGGATAATTTAGAAAGGAATGGTGTTTATTTACTTCATAGTTTTGGAGAAAGTCCAAAACATTTGCTGACCCATATGAGGACCCTCCCAAGGGTGGTGCTGCCAGTACCAACATACTGCAATCGCCCTCTTCAAAGTCCTCCATTCTTTTTTTCTTTTTTTTTTTAAATTTAAGTTAGGAACAAACTTGTTTTACATGTCAATTCCAGTTCCCTCTCCCTCCTCTCCTCCTCTGCCCTCCATGACACCCTATCCCATCCCCTTTCTGCTCCCTAGGGAGGATGAGGCCTTCCATGGGGATCATCAAAGTCTGTCATATAATTTGGAGCAGGACACGGGCCCTCCCTGGTGTGTCTAGGCTGAGAGAGTATCCCTCTATGGGGAATGGGCTCCGAAAGTCCATGTGTATACGAGGAATGAATACTGATCCACAACAAGAGGCCCCATAGATTGCCTAGGCCTCATAACTGACACCCACATTCAGGAGGTCTGGGTCAGTCCTCTGCTGGTTTCACAGATGTCCCTCTGGGGTCCATGAGCTTCCCCTTGTTCAGGTCAGCTGTTTCTGTGGGTTTCTCCAGCCTGGTCTTGACCCCTTTGCTCATCACTCCTCCATCTCTGTAATTGGATTCTAGGAGTTCAGCTCAGTGTTTAGCTATGGGTGTCTGCTTCTGCTTCCATCAGCTACTGGATGAAGGCTCTAGGATGATATTTAAGGTAGTCATTGATCTCATTATCGGAGAAAGGGCATTTAAGGTAGTCTCTCCACTATTGCTTAGATTGTTAGTTGGGGTCATCCTTATAGATCTCTGGACAGTTCCCTAGTGCCAGATTTCTCTTTAAACCTAAAATGGCTCCCTCTGTTATGGTATCTCTTTTGTGGCTCTCCTCTATTCTTCCCCTGACTAAATTCTTCCTGCTCCCTCATGTCCTCCTCTCCTCTCCTCTCCTCTCCTCTCCTCTCCTCTCATCTCCTCTCCTCTCCTCCCTGTCTTTTTCTTCTAACACCCTCTCCCCTCCCCCATGCTCCTAATTAGCTCAGGAGATCTTGTCCCTTTCCCCTTTTCAGGAGGACCATGTCTTAGGGTCCTCCTTGTTTCCTGGCTTCTCTGGAGGTGTGGATTTTAGGCTAGTAATCCTTTGCTCTATGTCTAAAATCCATATATGAGTGAGTACACACCTTGTTTGTCTTTTTGTGACTGGGTTACCTCAGTCATGATGGTTTCTTCTAGTTCCATCCATTTACCTGTGAATTTCAGGATTCCATTGTTTTTTTTTTGTTTGTTTGTTTGTTTTTTCCCCATTGGGTAGTACTCCATTGTGTAAATGTACCATATTTTCTATATCCATTCTTCAGCTGAGAGGCATCTAGGTTGCTCCCAGGTTCTGGCTACTACAAATAATGCTGCTCTGTGCATCCATTGGGTATATGCCTAAGAATGGAATTTCTGGATCTTGTGCTAGACTGATTCCCATTTTCCTGGGGAACTGCCATACTGATTTCCAAAGTGACTTTATTTTATGAGTTTGCACTCCCACCAGCAGTGGAGGAGTGTTCCCCTTTCTCCACATCCTCTCTAGCATAAACTGTCATTGGTGGTTTTGATTTTAGACATTCTGACAGCAAGATGGTGTCTTACAGTTGTTATGATTTGCATTTCCCT